ATAAGTGGATAACCCTAGAAAATATCACGGCAGTGGATAACCAGAAAGTCCCGAAAACTAACCAAGTTATACCTAGGGAAATTACACTTATGATTATTGTTCTTCTGAGAAGATCCTTAGATAAGGATAAGAGACTTGAAAGAGGTAGGGCGTATTACGGCATAAATATAAAGATCCGGATTAACAACCTGATATACTTGAAAGAGGTAGGGCGTATTACGGCATTAATATAAAGATCCGGATTAACAACCCTGATAAATGGTATGATTGACCCTGAATGAGATAATGAGAAGAACAATAATTGAGGCTTTATAATTATGGGGTCCTGGTAGAGCGTGGCGTCCCAAGATATCACTTCACCGTAAACTAGTGACTATGGAACAACCTACTCTGGAGTGAGGGTACGGCATTAAACAGATCCGGATTCTTCCCAACACTCGATAAGACTTACTACACAACTGCCACGTGTAATAACAGGTAAGCCTTATGACACTTGGAACCTAATATCCTACGTCTGTCACTCTTACTATACGATAATACCAATATATGCACACACATATGAAGGGAACTTTAAACTACCGTAAAGCAATTGAGAACAGAAGTGACTGGGAGGAATAATTAACACTGAGTAACAAGGGAGGAAGGAATATGGTACTTAAGGTCGTGTCCTGTCACGGTCGCCATTTGTTACGAGTTGGGGATTTAGAATATAGTTATACGTCTACCCAGATCCCAACAGGTAACAACAATAAAAAAAAAACAAAGACAATCGGACTATAAAAGGGTAGACAAAGGATGCGAGTTTTCGTTGTATATAATAGAGTACCATAAATCCCTTAACAAAATATTCAGCTTATAAATTACCCTTAACCAAACTTAACCTAAACATTAACAGTATATACATATTAATAAACATAAAACAATCTCGAAGCAAGTGGACGTGGGGGAGTTAATACAGGATAATAGTACTTAAGTGAGGAGCTGAGATGGCTGACGAGTAAGGCTGAGTATTGTAGAAGACGGTAGGTAGTCACTGCACGTAGGTTTAGAGGATAGATGATCCTGTGGTCACTTCCCAGAGCCAAGTCTCTCTCCTCGAATTGGAGCTGACAAAGAAGACTGAGGAGGTGACGCAACAACCAGGATAGGGAGAAGGGAAACCTCGGAGTGGTAACTAAGACGAGTCATACTCGTGTCTCGTCCCTAGATGGCGTTGCTCGTGGTGCTGGGTAGGTAGATCAGGACAATAGATGGCGTTTCAGAGTGCTGGGTGGAGGGGTTCAAATAACGTCTATAATACAGCCCATGGACCAAGAATTGATCTGTAATGTAAAAGCTGCATTCTCTGTTAAAAAATTCAACCTCCTGAATGACTACACCAACACCAAGGAAGAGTTGCGTAACCTGAGTGACACCAACACCGATAGCAAGAGCAAAGACGACGAGGATCAACAGTTGGCAGAGCAAGAAGTACTTTTGAAACAATTCTGGAGAACATTCAACGTCAAGAAAGCTGTGGACTTCTTGGTGGAGGCATGGGATCAGCTGTCTGTAGCAACTGTTCGTCACGCATGGAGACATGTGTTGCAAGGCATTCCGGGTGTTAGGCAGAGTAAATCTGTGACTGGAGAGGTTCAGACTGTTGCAGTAGCAGTGGACCTTGCCAGAGAAGCTGCGCAGAGTGTTACAGCTGCAGGCTTCTCTGAGACCACCAACGACGACATCCTGGAGGTGATAAGGGATCCTGATGTGACTACCGACGAGATGGTAGATGATGATGAAGTCAGTGAAGAGGCAGGTGGTGCGTCATCCCAAGAAGAATGCGGCTTATCCCATAGTAATATAAGGGGTGCCATCGAGTGTAATGAGAAAGTCAAGCTCCTCCTTTCGGACGACCCTGATGCTAACAGGTATGAAATCTTCACTACCCAGCTGTTGCAGACTATGGAGCCCTACATCAAGGTTTATCACGACAACATAAACACCAGCCGTCAGCAAAGCATAACAGAGTTCTTCGCCCGCAACCCACCACAGCCAGACCAAGCCAGTGATAGTGACAGAGGCAGAGACAGTGATGATGATTTTGAGGGATTTTGTCAGGGAGGCACTATTAAGTGTGGATGACACCGATGAAGACTCACCTGAGGGCCAGTAGCCTGCCCTCTGCCTTGGAACCAGCCTCCATTCCCCTATGCTGACCCATCTCTTCTACTAACGTAAGTGTTAACCCCAACCTTGTTTTTTTCTAACCTAACCTTCAGTTTATTATTCTCTTATTGATTGTTCCCTTCTATATTATGTGTGTGTGAATACCATCATAAAGTTAAGATGTTATTTTTAGTAAAACGTACGTATTGTGTCGGGAAAAAGTGGAGTTTGGGGGTCGGCCCGGTCTCTATTTCAATTAATCCCATATGTTATGTTGTTCACTTTACGCGTTTCTCACTTTACGCGGGCGGCCATGGGTTCAATTAACAGCATAAAGTGAGGGTTCACTACAGTAATACCCCGAATTAAGCGGTCAATTGAACCCGCGGAGTAGCACGGTAAACGAAGAACGCGTAAATGGAATAAGAGAACATATTGGATTAATTGAAATAGAGACTGGGCCGACTCCCAAACTCCACTTTTTCCAACACAATACCGACACAATACCTACATTGTAGTAAAAATAACATCTTAATTTTATGATGGTATGCATACACAATTAATATTTAAGAGAAATACAGTCGCCAGGTTAATTTCCATTCAAATAATGGACTCATCTCCCTCCCCCCCTTCCCACACTCGCTGGCTCCTCCCTCTCTGAGAAATGTTTGGGTGAAAACACTAGATTTTAAGGTATAGTAATAAATAATACCTCAGACTACAGTTAGGATAATATAATTGACATTGCTGGATTCCTTGCAAGGCCAGGAATATTTTGAATATACACGTCATATATTTTGCACAAAAGATAAAATTTTGGCTTTGTAATCAAAATTCTTACATTAGATCTAAAATTTGTATGTCTAATGCAAATTCCATGATGTTTATATTTAAAATAATCACAATCTTATAAGAATTCTAGTAATGTAAATTATATTCTGGCCGGGCAATTTGTATGAATTTTATGAGCTAAAACAAATATCTTCAGTAAATAAACAAGTTATACTTAACCCGCGTAAATGAGTAAATTCACCTCGTAAATCGGGCATCCCGGTTTTGGCAAGGTACCGCTTAAATGACAAAACGAGTAAACGAAATCCGCGTAAACCGAGGTATTACTGTAGAGCTTTTGTTTTTTAAACATATTTATTTAATCAAACTTTTAGATAAAGTATTCAAGATTATTTTGAAAAAACAAAAAAAATGGCGTGTCTAACGAAATAAGAACTAATTTTATTGACTCCGGTATCAACATTTCTTATTTTATTTATTTTTATTTTTTTCAAAGAATGGAATTCTCATTATTATATCGTATCAAAATATTTCGTTTAGGGATATCTTGTTGGAAATGTCTCACAGAGAATTCATTCAGGATCATTATGGCATCAAATTCATCTCCCTATCACAATGAGCCAAGCTTGAGTGAGGAAGGGGAGGGCGGGGGGAACTGACTGCGACACTCCCCCCTCACTCCCAAAAAGGTTTGCCTCCCCCAGACCCCAGCAATCCTCCAACAACCTTCTCAGCCCACATCACTCACACTGTGCGACACACACCAACATTACCCACACACCCCCTCCAACAGCACCCACACATCACACACATACACCCATACATCACAAACACACATAAACACACCCTCCAACAACCAACCACACACTCCCTCCAACAACCACCCACACACACCCTCCAACACCACCCACACACCCCTACTTCACCCACACACACCCTCCAACACCACCCACACACCCCTACTTCACCCACACACACCTCCAACACCACCCACACACCCACACACCCTCAAACACAACCCTCACCACACACCCACCCACACACACACTCCAACAACCACTCACACATACCCTCCAACAACCCCCTCCCCCACACACACACACAGTATCCAGGCACACACACTCACATACCATCAACAAAGGAATTAAGATAACAAGCATAAGGAGTGAGGGTCTTATTGTATGACAAATTTGCGTGTGTGTGTGACTGTGTGGTAGCGAGTTAAATACCAGCTGTTGAGGAGCGGTTGGCAAAAATCCTTTCCACTCCATCTCTCTAATCACCCACACCTTTCTGCTTTCTTACTCCACATTTTAAAATATTATGTAACGTAATGTTGAAGGGATACAACTTTGCTCATTTATACAGATACTTCTCACAATCTTCCTAAAAATACTTTATCGAGACATCTTCAGGTCATGAGACCCACTAATCCCCCACCCAAGAAAGGGTGACTTGAAATTACATCTGAAGGTCAGTAATATGAGACCATTAATTCCCCACCCAAACTCCACCTGGCATTGCATCAGGTCAGGTCAGTTACATGAGACCCACTAATCCCCCCCAGCTCCAATGGAGTGGAAAATACCAGTCTTTGCTGTAACTCACAGCTTCATTCATGCCCGTATCATACAGATTTTTAATTTTAAATATATTTATTTAACCAAACTTTAAGATTAACTATTCTGGAAATGGAGTTTCTAACTTAATTAGAACTGCATTTACGGACTCCCGGTAGTTTAGACTCAAGGAAAACATCCTCAGCACCCAGAAACATTCTGGGGAAGCGGGCTAGTGTCTGTCTGTGCAAGATGTCTAGTTCAGACACTCAGAAACTTTTCCAAATAACCAGAAATGATTTCAGGATAAGGAATTTTTCCAGGTTTGAGAAAGTCATCCGGTTAGCTGGAAATCTCTCATCCCCAGAAGCGCTCTGCACCAACTGTTCCGGCTAATGGGAATATCACCGTAAAGCTGGGTAATTTTGCTGGTAAAATAATAAATGCAGTGTAATACAAAAGAAAAACTAATATATAGGTAGAGGTGTGTTGTGCACAAACCTTAACTTCACCTAGGTACATGTAGTTTAAGAGAGCCTCCATATCTTCGTATCGGATGTCCTTCATAATAATGACAGGATGTTTACAGTGAGTTGCTTCAAATATCTTGTCAAAGTAGTCGCTACAGGACGACACAATCAGCTTGTGAATTGGGTAGAACTTTCCTTCACATGTTATTGTTGCATCAGAATATGATTCCTGTAAATAAATTCTTTGAGGAGTAAATATTCCAAATCAAGTTCATCACAAAATCAAATACACAAACTACTTACAGTAGACAACAGAATGCATATGATACTGTACATCCAAGGATATTGAAACATGTAAATTACAGTACAGTAATCATCACACAAATATCCCACATTAACCATGACACCAATTCAATTTCATAGTGAGAAAGTAGAGGCAAGTTGTAAGTATTTGGTAATCAAAACAAGTACAGGAATACCCCGGTTATCACACAGGAATACCCCGGTTATCACACAGGAATACCCCGGTTATCACACAGGAATACCCCGGTTATCACACAGGAATATCCCGGTTATCACACAGGAATACCCCGGTTATCACACAGGAATACCCCGGTTATCACACAGGAATATCCCGGTTATCACACAGGAATATCCCGGTTATCACAAAGGTTGTATTCCTAAAGTCATTGCGAATAACGAATTTGAGAATATTGGGTCAATTTTCCCCATAAGAATGCATGTAAATAGGGGGCAATGCTTTCCTGGCCAGCAACTTTCACCACATATTTGTTGATATACAAGTAGTACAGGTTGTACCTCTCTAGTCCGGCATTCTGTGGTCCGGAAACTCCCGTGGTCCGGAACGATTTTAGTTTGTCCAATAAGTAGATAGGCAGCTTTTTTTTTTTTTTTTTTTTCTGAATTATTATCATTATTACAGGAGTATTAAATTTTTGCCTCTCAGGCCCCAATGTGGGTCAGTGACCAATGCCCGGGTGGGCTAATCCCCTTAAAAAACAAAAAAACAAAGCCGCGGGAAATTAAGGTTTGTTTACATCCGGCAGTTCGGCTGCTCTCTCTCTCTCTCTCTGTCTGCTTGTCTATACAGAGTACAACATTTAACCCTTCAATATATATGAGCAGTAAATAAGTTTTGCTTTCATATTCTTATGTAGAATAATGACGATATGTTGTCACGTGCGCACTTACATATGCGCAGTCTCACTTTTTTTTTACCATTAATGGTTAGCTACTTATATTGTTCCATTTATTAACATTAAATAACATTACAGGTACTTCAAGCACCCATATTCATTTTTTACATTAATTTTACTACAGCTAAACTCAGGGTCTTATTTTCTTCAGTTTTATGTGTAGAACCAATCAGTCACTGGTTTCGTAAGCTTTAACATAAACAATGCCGGCAGCCGTCTCGTCTAATATTCCACGCATTATTAATAAATTGTATTGTTAATTTTGCACACACGTACATTAATTCAATAAAAACAAATTCAGAAACATTAATTAAAATATATATGAACAGTAAATAAGTGTTGCTTTCATATTCTTATGTAAAGTAATGACGATATGTTTTCACGTGTGCGCATGCGCACTTACATATGCGATCTCTCTTTTCTTTACCATTATCGTTAGCTACTTCTATTGTTCCATTTATTAACATTAAATAACATTACTTAAAACAACCATATTAATTTTACTACAGCTACAACCAAGGTCTTATTTTCTTCAGTTTTATATGTAGAACCAGTCAGTCACTGGTTTTGTAATCAACGAAAACAATGCTGTGTCATTTCCTCGTGTGTTTTAATATTCTACGTATTATTAATGAATTGTATTGCTCATTTTGCACACATAAACATTAATTCAATAAAAAAGACATTCAGTAATAAACAATAATGAATCTTTTGTACATAAGAGAAATGACACTGTTTACACGATTATGCACGTCGTCTGCACGTTGGCGGGCCGTTCAAACCCGTCGAAATTCAAGTTTCCGCCGTCAAAATTCTTATTTATTTATTTTTTTGTGTGTTCCAATAAAATACGTTAAGAATTACAAACTCGCGAAATTTGAGAAGCTACTACCGTATATCTCGGCCTATAAGGCGGCGGGGTGCATAAGGCGGCCCCCCAAATTTCCATTTAAAAAGTAGCTTTTAAGCTCTATTCGCTGTATAAGACCAGTACCCCAAATGTGACACTTACCCACTGACCCAGTAGTCCTTTACCAACCATCCTTGGTTTTTTAAAATAAGGCCAATTCACTTCAAGTAATGTCATCAAATGTTACCCGCTGGTGTAGTGTAAACACTAGTGATTCACTTAAGCGTCTGTTATTTAACTGGAACTAATGTCGGTCGAGTGAAATTTTTCCATTTACTTGAAATGGATTTACCGATTTATTTGTTTATTTATTTATTTATAATATACAGGTAGTTCTGCTATAACGCGATAATTGTGTTCTTGTAAAATATCGTGTTATAGAAAATCGCGTAATAGAAATAACAGGGCTTATGGAGAAAATAGGGTTAGGTGCAGATTACTCGAAATCGAAAAAATTTAGTATTTAGCCTAACACAAAGGATAGCACAGTCTAAATAAATGTTACATTCATATCTAATAATGAAATCATACAGTAAATTTAACACTTTACCTTGAAAAAATATGAATGTAACTTGATAGGGGAGAAGGGTGATTTTGAGGTTGATAACATTGAGCTTCTCTTCAAGTGTTATATCCTTTCTTTTACGATAATCACCGGGAATTCTATCATCAGAGCGCTTTTTGGAGATATTCTTCTTTACCATATTCACAGTTAATACCACAAAATTGGAGAAATAGTAAGCAAAAATCGCGTTATAGCAAACAAGCGTTCGCGTTATACAAATATTGTTCCGAATTCATAAATCGCGTTAGAGCAAATTCGCGTTATCAAAACACGCGTTATAGCAGAACTCCCTGTACTGTAACATATTATACACACTGCAAGTATTTTCTTTAATTTATATGCTTGCTTCACGAGAGACAATCGGTGGTGGGACTGTTCCCACTGTTTACACCAGCTACAGTATTCTAATTCATTAGTGTTTCAATAGGATTTGAGTGAAAAAGATTACTGTACATACTTACTACATACATTTATTACTCACATATATATATATATATATATATATATATATATATATATATATATATATATATATATATATATATATATATATATATATATATATATATATATATATATATATATATATATATATATATATATATATATATATATATATATATATATATATATATATATATATATATATATATATATATATATATATATATATATATATATATATATATATATATATATATATATATATATATATATATATATATATATATATATATATATATATATATAAAGTTAACCCTCACTTTATGCGGTTAATGTAACCCGGAGGGTCCCGCGGAAAGTGAGGAACGCGTAAAGTGAATAACATAACATATGGGATTAATTGAAATGAGTCCAGGCCGATCCCCAAACTCTACTTTTTGACGACACACAACTATGTTGTAGTAAAAATATTATCTTAACTTTATGATGGCATGCACACACAATTAATAATTAAGAGAAATATCAATAATATTAGGTTTTTTAACACTTACATTAGTAGAAAAGATGGCTGGGCACACGGGGATGGGCGGTTGGTTCCGAGGCAGAGGGCAGATTATTGGCCCTCACCTGTATCACTTGTATCAATTGTATCACTATCCACCACAGAGGCTTGCAGGGCCTCTTTGTCAAACCCCCCAAAGTTCATATAAGTCCATATCCTCACTATAATTATCACTATCACTGACTTGGGCCGGCTGTAGTGGGTGGCGGGTGAAGAACTGGTAATGTTTTGATGACTGGGCGACCTTGTGCGCACCATTTTCGCGCCTCTTACACAACATGGCGGATGGCGGGAGGTTTGGATCCAAAAATGGCGCGGCTTGCCAGCCGCTCTCCGCGTAATGGGGTACACGCACCGCGGAATGTGAGCATGTTAGGTTCCGGCAGGGCACCGCGTTAACGGTGAAACGCGGAATGCGGGACCGCGTAATGTGAGGGTTGACTGTATATATACGCTGACGTATTTAAAGTGCCAGTGATTCTTTTCTTGTCAAATATTACAATATTTTCAACCATTTATTGTAAATGGATAGGCAAAGTTATTGTGTAGACTGATTTTTTTTATTTCAATTTCACATTTATGGATGATTATTTTAAATTATTGCATTGAGGCATTACGGATTTGGCAGAGCGTTATAATATCGATTCAGATCAATCTGACGACGCACTCCAGGTAGACACTGTGTTAGCCACTGGCACTAGTGTTGATATTGAACACGTAAATTTGCAAGAAACTCGGGCGCAGTTCCGGCGAGACATTTCTGTTGAGAGTAGTGAACAGTAAAGTGACCGATCATTTGGCAATTTTTACCGTAGAACCCCAAGGTCTGGTAATAAGTATGATACAACACCTGATTACGGGCAAGTTCCCTCTCATTCTACAGAGAAAGACAGTGTGTCAGAAAACCTTCCTTCCCCTACCACATCCACCGATCCTCCAGGTAGATCTAGGTTGTCTAGCAACCAGACTACCATGGCTACAGCTAGTTCAGGCATGTCACCTAACAGTACCTACATTGTTCGAGTCTTGCCGCGCAGCGACAGCATTCGCGAGTTTACAGCGGAAGATGACCATCGTGTAACTACATTTTTAAGGTCATGCGAGGATACAATGAAAAACATCCAAATAACGGGAGATGTGGAATGCAAGGCTTTTGTTCGCGGTCACGTCAAACAAGGAAGTTATGCAAGTGACCATTTGGGCACTAGTGGTCTTGCACATCCTTCATATAAGGTGTTTAGAAAGACACTAATTCACCTGTTTGAATTAGGCGCACAGCAAGGCCACCTGAATTGGATGTTTACTGTAGGTGGGTTGATCGCATTCCCCGTATGATACGCGTAGAAGATACGATGAAAAGTGTTTCCTTTGCTGGCGATGTCTGTCAAGACATCTTAGCTAATTTTCGTGGTTCAACCTGGTTGGACTCCGATGATAAATTGTCCCTAGACAATTTTGTAAAGTTGATGGAATCTCTTGGTTTTCTACTGACAATCCATGACACGGCATGTAATCAGGCAAGGACAGATTA